AGAACACAGAATATAAATATATACATACACACACACATATATATACATATATATACACACATATATATAAATATATAACACAAATATATATACATATATATATACACAATATATATACATATATACATACAACATATACACACATACATACATACATACATACATACATACATACATACACATACATACATACACATACATACATATATATACATACATATACATATATATACATATACACATACATACATATATATCATAATACATATATAACATACATACATACATATATACATATATATACATATATAATACAACATATATATAATAATCACATATATATACATATATATACATATACCATATATATACAAATACTATATACTATACTATACAATATACATATATATAGATATACACATAATATACATAATATACATATAATAATATATATACATACATATACATACACATACATATACTACATAACATACATATACAAAACATACATACATATATACATATACATACATATATACAATATACATACATATATACATATATACATACATATATATACATACATACATATATATACATATATACATACATACATACATACATATATAGATATCGATATCTATAGATATAGATATCGATATCGATATCTATATATATATATATATATAGATATAGATAGATAGATATATAGATATATATATGGTTAAAAAGAAACACGCACACAGACAGTGTGGTTGACACAAAACATTGTGAAATATGTCATTTTAATGAAACTGATATTTGTAGATTTAAATTATATGCAAATGCAGTAGGATACTATTCAGCAGTCTTTAGTCATTCTTAGAACAAATATAGTGTTGTCTTTACAAATAGGCACACAAGACAGCAGCTACAGCTGATCTGCACAGCACTTTCAAGCTGTTAATTTTTTTGGTATTCACCACACATGAACGCATCAAAAATATCTGGAACGCAGTAAAAAGCTGAGAAAGACACTGACACAATTGTGTAATGGTAGAGAGGTCAGAGCAGATAATTTAGAAACTGATGGCCAAAGTGTGAGAAGCTATTATTATTCCTCTTACATCACAATGTTTAAGCAGCCTCATTAGCTACGTAATCACAGTTGCAAAAACCAAAAAAAGGAAAATATATCAGCAAAGGCTTGTCCAAAAGATCCAGCAAAACAATATTACACAACAAGGGGTTTTAAAGTATTCATATATTTAGCAGATAAACAACTTTAAAATATTCCAGGAAATGTAATGTAATCTTATGCTTGTAGACGGTCTTGAAAAATTATTGACAACACATTTTTTCAGGTCAGAGAGAGAAGCATTAAACAGAATTTATCATGAAAGCAACAAACAAAACAAAACAAAACAAAACAAAAAACACACCCAAGCAAAAAATTCATTGTGTACAAAGCTACTAAAACATCAATAGAAGAACTATGCACATGTGAGGTGCACTATATTTTGTAGTGACAGCCACTTAATTCGATTAGGATGTTCTTTTGCTATAGCAGACTAGCTAAAAATAATAATGTGAGCTAATCATAGAAGCTGACTTCATGAAAACGTGTGCTATTGTGACATTTATGCGCTTTCAGGAAATAATGGGTGCTATTCTTAAAGTTTATACACAGATAATGGGATGGCACTGAAGACAAATGACCCACAAGAGAGCTGCGCAATGAAATGTACAAGCAAATGTTTTGGTAAATGCCTTTACAGAAAGGCATTTTCCCCAGGAAAATCACACATGACGTAACACAATTTGTAGAAATGCATCCACGTTTCCCAATCTGTTTAATAGAAAGAGTTTGTCACTGGTCATCAATCAGAGGGTGAGGGTGTCATCATGTGACCATTTTTGCCTTCTATATCAGGACCTTCTGTTGCAGTTAATCGGTGCTTTTGGAGCAAACTGCTCTGGAGCCCACTAAAAGGTAATAACCTACTGAGAAGCTCCACAGAGGACTTTATAGGTACAAAGACCTTTTATTTTTCTTCCATCAACTCTGAAATGATGGCTACAGCTGGGTATTTACAAACCAACATCAATTTGCATTTCCTCTGAACAAACCATTTTCCTGCTTGTTTTAGTTTATTTTTTGAGGATAACACAGAGCTATTGTCTAAACAACTAATACTCTAGGGACCTTTAGTTGTTTTGTTTTTTTTAAATCGCTTTTGCAATTTCACATTCATGCATTTGACCAAAAACAGTATACTCACAGTTCCTCTTGTGCCCTGAAGACTACTACACCAAAGAAGAATTAAAACAAAAAAACGGTCTGTATTATACTTGCTTATGAACACAATCATGGATACTTGGAATAAAGAGGACCTCAGCATATTCAAAGAATTAGAACACCTGCGTAAGAACTGTTGTCATGTTGACTTCTGTAGTTCAGTGTTAGAGGCTTTGAACTACAAAAAAAAGTAACTGGTTTGAAAATCACTTCATTTCTAATGCACACAGATAGACTCATGACATGACAACAGAATGACTAATGTACCCAGCACAAGGAAGGTGGTTTTTAATGGTGCAGCTGATTAATGTGCGTTTTATTTATTGTATCTTGTATTTATTACTTCGGAATTTAGAATCCTGCCTCAAAAAAATAAGTTCTGACCTATATTCTACAACGGAAAAACTGGGAGCGCCTACACACTCATCAGCCTGGTTGCAGATAGCATACAAAATGTACCTGCTCTTTGTTTTTCCACTTAGGCAATCAGGACAACTCTATTAGAACTCTGACATGGCATTTTTCAGCAGTCTTTAATCTTCATTTAATCTGTATTTTTTTGAGCTAGACAAGTATAACAGACTAAATCAGATTATTCCACTATTAAAAGCAACCCAAGGTCCTGGATAGAGCAGTGGTAGAAGTGACATAAAATAATCTCTATGCACATATAAAGATTTTAGTCAAATGTTTCCCATTTCCTCCGGAGGTCCTCCACCTTCTGTTTTTGGGATGAAGCTGGTCTGGCCAAGGACAACAGGTCCCCAAAAGGATCCTGAGGCTTCTGACTGTCCTGTTCAACATTAAGTGGCTTTCCCAGTGCATTTATAGCTGTGGAAAAAGTGTGATTGCTGGCAGAGGAGTGAGGCAGAGAGGTGACTGATGACGGGAATGCTGATTGGAGCAGTGAATAGCTGGGTGGGGCAGTGGAACTGCCTGGCGAATGCTGTCTGTAAAGCCCCGGTAGTGTTGTAAATGACTGCTGCTGCGTTGGAGCAGGCATATAAGGGCCTGGCGGAGGTCTGGAGACTGTATTAAAGGGGTTTCCACTTATAATTGGTGAGTAATGCATTTGAAGGGAAGGGTTTTGCAAAGACTGGGTGAAAGGGTTTAGTGATAGGTTTGGATATTTTGGGAAAGAAGGCAAGCCCTGTGGGTAGGATCCAGGTTGTAGTACTAGCTTGTAGGAAGATGAGATACTACTATCTGTCCCATCAGTTGGTGCAGTGGAGCTGGTCTGTGCTGAGTTCTTTAGAGGATCTAAAAGGCTTATGAGATCTATACCTTCCTTAGTACTCTTGGGGGTCTTCAGCAAATCTCCATCTGTGGACATGCTCAGAGCTTGTCTAAACTCTTCTCCCCCTGATATAGTCCTTCCTTCACCAGTTCCTGCTGGTTTGGAGCATGACTGGGCTGTGGGAGGTGTCAAGACAGAACCAAGCTCAGGTGTCTTCCTTCCCTGGGGACGAGGAATAGTGATATTACCTAGAGAGGAAAGGTCCAAAGGCTCAGGGCACGTGCTGGAGCTATCAAGCCCTGGGGATTGGGTTCCTGTGTACACAGGAAGTTGGACAGATGGAGGTCTATTACAGGTAGAGGGACCAGGCAAAGGCATTTTTTCATGACCTGTACTCCACAGCTTGTTGTAAGAGTTGGAGAGCTTGAGCCCTGGAAATGTTCGTGAATTGTCATCAACGTTTACGTCCAGCTGCTGCAAGCACAAGAGATCAGAATTTAAAGAACCACTTGAGTTGTTTTTCTTCACAATTTAGCTCAGTAAATCCTACAGTACTACTGCTTCTTAACTCACATGGTGTAATATATATACATATATTATGCCATGACCCATTATGAGTTTTTGAGATGAGATTTACACACACACACACACACACACACACACACACACACACACACACACACACACACATAAACAGAGAGATATATATATATACATACATATAATATATACATACATACATACATACACACATATACTAATACATACATACATACATACATACATACATACATACATACATACATACATACATATATATATAAATACATATATATATACATACATACATACATACATACATACATATATATACATACATACATACACATTTTTTTTCCCCCAATACAATTTTAAATAGTGTTTTCATAGTGTTCAATAGGTAGACAACAAAATATGTGATCCACTACTACGTGTCTTCTAAAAGCTTTCAGATCATCATCTGAGGACCATTAATCCTCATGTACAGATTGTGGAATTTACAAACAGTCTGGAATATCTGGATTTAATTTAGAAAAAAACTAATCTTATATAATCAAATTAATTATAATACAAACTATTCAGGTAGTGTCTGGAACAGAAATCTCACCTGGTAGGTAAACTTGGGCTGCAACTCATCGGAGTCTTTAGAAGTCCTCAGATCCTCGAGACTCTTAGCCAAGGCAACTGGTTGGCTCTCAGGTTCGTCCAGGCACCCAAAAAAGTCACCAAGCAAGTTGAGATTGGAGAACTTCTCATTGACTGGGCTAGGGGGGGCAGTATGACTTTCTGGTGGCCCAAAACCAGTATCATGACTTTCTATCAACTCAACCTCTTTTAGTGTGTGGTACGGCTGTGGCCTGCAGGAAAAGAGATAAACCTGTTATTATAAATTCTTTCTCACAATGGATGTTATATGCACTTTTCTACTCTATTTTTCTAGCGCTTATGACAGCATTTCTCATTCACCATTCACATACACATTCATACAAGCATTTTTTCTATATCTAAGTGCTTTCTATGCAAGATTCACACGCCGATGAACACATATCTTGTCAAAAGATACTTCGACATGCATACAAGCAGGAGTCTGGGATAAAACAACAGACCTTCAAATCAGTAGATGACCTGCTCTACCTTTTCAGCCAATGTCTTTAAAATTATTTAAGTTTGGAACATTTGCCCTTCAATGTTTTTGACTTAGACAGGCAGAGTTGGAGAACTTCATCATACTGGTTCAAAGAATCATGGTACAAGTCAGATATTAATAGAAATTAATCATATACATATTTTTTTTTGTTTATTTCAGTAGATGCACTGCTCTACCTCTATCACAGCCACCACTCTTAAATTGCCCCTCCATGAATGGCCACCTCATTGTTTTGGAGGGATCCCAGGAGCCATGTTGTCAGGGGCAATTTGCCCCTAGTCAAGGCTCCCAAGGCAAATTAGTACTGGGTAAGGGGCCAGACTAAGTGTGATTTAAAAAAACAAACAAACCCTATAATAAACCCCTATAACAACGAAATTCATAAATATTACTCAGACCAGGGGTCGGCAACCTGCGGCTCCGGAGCCGCATGCGGCTCTTTAGTCCTTTTAGTGCGGCTCCGCGTGGTTTGGGAAAATAAATTAGAAGTATTTAGCTGAAGTGTATTTTCTTTATGTTAGTTCATTTTTAACTTGTAGTTCTAAATTGGAAGATTATTGTGATATTGAAATATAAAAAAAAATTGTACTCTATTATTTTTTCATCGCTCAAAATAAGCGTCACACTGGCGGAAGCCGGTATGCTCGCCGAAACGCCGTGCATTTATCGAGACTTTCAACCCCAGGTAGGCCAGTTATGGATCTTCGGATCCACATTATGTCAGCAGCTATTCGCCACCGTGAACTATGTTAAAAACAAACACCACTCATGCCTCACAGATGACAGCTTACAGTCCTGCGTAAAGATGAAAGTGACTTCGTACAGCCCCGATCTGCAGACGCTGTGCGCAGAGGTTCAGGAGCAGAAGTCCCATTGTAAACATACCACGGCAGACCCGACGATGTCTCCATGAACGTGCTTTTCAGCATCTCTTTATTGACCACATTTCACACACGGTTGCTGTACGCATACAGCCGGCTGTAGCTTTGCAGCTCACAGCCCGACATATACCAACAACAGCATAGATAGCACAGACGTAAAGGCAGTGAGGCGTGATTGCGGGTCCCGCTCAGGTGCGTCCGCCTCCCCTGCAGCGGCGCTGCAGACCACGCCCTCCACACACATTAACCAGGTAAATACATATTTAGGCAGAATTTTGCAAATATCTATTTTTCATTAGCAGCATAGTGCTTTTTTTTCCAATTATTTTTAAAAAGTCAGGTCAAGGCTCCAAAATCCCAAAGGCGATATAAGGGTGGCGGCTCACAACAGTTTTTGTTTGCTGGATCCTTTTAGTTCAGCTGGGTGTCTTTCCTTTTGTTATATTGCTTTAAGAGTTCAAAATGTGTTAATTACATAAATAAAATGTAATTTTCTCTGTAGCACTTCATGGATTTCATAAGCAACACACCTTAGTTGTTCACACAAAGCATAAAGGTAAAAAACAATATATACAGTGTTATCTTCATTTTAGATGTCAAAAAGTATTTGCGGCTCCCAGTGTTTTCTTTTGCGTGGAAACCGGGTCCAAATGGTTCTTTGGGTGTTAAAGGTTGCAGACCCCTGACCCAGACCATAATTATGGGGACCCCACCCTAGAGTCAGGCATAGGGGAGGGGCTCACTTGAGAGCACCTGGTGGTCATGCCTTAACCTATGGAGCCTGCCCAGGCTCAGCCTGAATGAGTCACATAGGCCAGTCCTACCATAGGCCCACCAACTGATCTGTGGCTGGAACCATAGGGGTCTGCTGTTTTTTTCGTTTCTGCTTTTTCATTTTAACCTGTTTTGGTCCCTAGATGCTTAAACTTGCATGGCTTTGAACACTTCACTGTCTCTAAAAAGCCTGGAGTAGAGGATTGGGGAGAGGAAGGTCAGGCCATCTCTGGTTAAACAGCTGATCCAGGTAATCATTACAAAATGGATGGATGGATAGATGGATCAACGGAGTATAATAGTACTAAAAAAAGCATCTACAGTACTAAAAAGACATGTTAACATAGAAGTAAAAGAAGAGCTGTGCTTATCACTGTACAGTGATAAGCACAGCATCGTCACCTTAGATTAAGAAGGCTCTTGGATTTATTTTCCTAGTTGGTTGGGAAATTTGTTTGTGAAGTTTCCATATTGTTACCCTGACTTTCTCCCAAGTCTGAAGATCTGTATACTTACAGGTTTTTTTGTTTGTTTGTTTTTTACAACCGTAATGCATTTTACTGGTATACATTTCATTTCTTTAGAGATATTTAACCACCATTAGATAACATCTCTGGAGTAGGTTGCACTCACAGGGATAATTTTCTATGGAAGAGAAGTCATATGATCTGTGGAACACCCATTTGTGATTGGTCAGATGCTTCCCACACCACCCCTTTCACCCTTGAGTTGATAACAACCCTCAACAACATATGACCACTTATCCTTGTCACCAATTTTCCACCCCAATAATTGAAAGATATCCTGGGTATGTTGAACTTATTTTAGATCCCAGGTTTCATAAGCCCGTACCAACAACATAACATCGTTTTGTTTCCCTAATCGTACTAATTGTACAAATGTCCCTATCCAAGAACCTATCCAAATGTACAGCTTTAAAAGTAGCTATGCACAGACATGCCCACAATTACTGAAAGAGAAAAGGAATAAGAAAGGCTTGTTAATGAACCAAACAGTGCAAAGTCAATCAGGGAAATGCATACAGAGGCGACCACTCAAAAGGGACCGAGAAGAAAAAGCTGTCAGGAAACCCAGAGATGGACTCATTGTCGTATTGGAGCTCATCTCCAGACGAATCCTCAGACAGAAAGACTGTGTAGTGACGAGTAGGACGGACAGGGCTACAGTGACAAGAGGAAAGACAACAGAAAATACACAGTTCATTACACAGGGGGCAGAAAGCAAGAGGCACATTAAGAAGAGAAATTAGAAGAATTAGAATTAGAAGTTTTCTAGTTTCTTATTATTTTGTTGCTCAATTTAAGTTATATAAGAGTATTCAATTATTGATTTGAATGGGCAAAGAGTTTGTTGAAAAATAAAATAATCCAAATTTTTGGCACTCCTTCAAGTAAATCCTTAATTTTTTCTCATTTCCAATGATGCAAATCTTGTTCCTGTAATGGTGCACACAGCTTCTGTCCTATTGCTCCATCTTTATGATGTCAAAAAGGGGGGATGTACTTATATAGGCATCACAGAAGTCCCTTCCACCTAATGTTCAAAATATCTGTTTACACAGTGTAGCCAATCAGAAGAAAGGTGGTTTAAAACAGTTTATTTCAGACATAGGGGCTAAAGGGCTGCACCAACGCCCATCACAAAATGTATTGATTTGTCTGAATTGTGAGTGATGCACCAAGAGGCAATTGAAGGGAGTCTGATTTGTGTCTAACTCAGTACAGCAGTACAGAACAACTGTTTCACCATCATCAATATCTTTCAGTGGTACCAAACAAACATTCCAATTATACTCTTAGTCGAGTCACTTTTGACCAGGATATGTTGTTCAATGCGCCATGTTAGACAAATATGTAGGACTGCTTTCTTCAATTTGTGTAATCTCTCTAAAATTAGAAATATCCTGTTAACTTAAAGACCTCATGGTACCCTATTATCCCAATAGAGCACTTCGTTCTCAGGCTGAAGGTTTACCTGTGGCTCTTAGGATATTTAAAAGTAGAATGGGAGGGAGAGCCTTCCGGTTGCAGGTCCTTCTTCTGTGGAACCAGCTCCCAGCTTGGATTAGGGACACAGACACTCTCTACTTTTAACATTAGATTTAAGACTTTTCTGTTTTGACAAAGCTTATAGTTAGGGTTGGATCAGGAGGCCTTGAACCCACCCTTAGTTATGAGTTATTATTGATGTCTGGCTCTCTTTCACAGCATGTCTTTTGTCTCGTCTATCTCCATTTACCCCCACCGGTCATGGCAGGTGGATGCTGAGATTATATTATCAGTTTATATGTGGATTATATATGGAGATCCATTTTAATATGATGAACTTAGAAGTGTCCAGGTATGTTGATTGTAGATATTAACAAGGTTAAAGAAACCCCCATGTTTTTTGAATCCTTTAGGCCCACAATTTATCCACTGCCTTTTCCAACAAGGGAACATTAACATTATCTCTTGACTGAACAAACTCAAAAACAGTGGAATTTGCTGTTTATAAATAAAGTATGCTTACTGGTCAATGCTGCTTTCCAGACTCAGATTGCTGCTTGGTCTTTTCAACAGCACTGGTGGCCGAGCCTGTGGACATGACGAAATAGGAGAGAAAGGAGAAATTTTAATGTCAGAAACACAAATAATGTACCACTATCTAAAGAAAGATAGATATAGATTGTTATACATATATTGTGTATATATACAGTGGCTTGCAAAGTATTTGGCCCCCTTGAACTTTTCCACATTTTGTCACATTACAGCCACAAACATGAATCAATTTTATTGGAATT